CTCTCTCTCTCTCTCTCTCTCTCTCTCTCTCTATATATATATATATATATATGTTATTTTTTCTCTCTCCTATTGAATATACATTAAAGATGAAAATTTGAATTATAGATTGAACCCATTGGAGATGAAATTTGAACTAGGTTGTCTATTCATTAGACATTAATGTCATGTAGATCGAAAGCCTTTCTATTTAGATGCCACCTAGATTGCAATTCATAGAATGCATTGGAGATGCTCTTAGCTTTCAACAAGCATGCAATGTGTCTATTATTGTTACCTTCCTGACCGGACTCCAAATTTAATGCTTTTGTGCTTATTATCACTTTTATGTTCTTGCTTTCAGATCGGTGAGAAAGATTGTCAATTTAGATAATCACATTGCATTGGCATGTGCTGGACTTAAAGCAGATGCACGTGTTCTAATTAATAGGGCACGCATTGAGTGCCAGAGTCATAAGCTTACAGTTGAGGATCCTGTGACTGTTGAATACATAACTCGCTACATTGCTGGACTTCAGCAGAAGTATACACAAAGTGGTGGTGTGAGACCTTTTGGACTTTCAACCTTGATCATTGGTTTTGACCCCTACACGGGTGTCCCATCTCTTTACCAGACTGATCCCTCGGGGACTTTTTCAGCATGGAAAGCCAATGCAACTGGGAGAAACTCAAACTCGATCAGGGAGTTTCTGGAGAAGAATTACAAAGAAACATGTGGCCAGGAGACTGTCAAACTAGCCATGCGGGCTTTACTTGAAGTAAGTCATCCACATGGACAAAAATTGATTGCTTTAATTCGTACTTGGTCTATTGTATTGCTATTAAATTTTAGGCGTATGCATATGAAATGTTCTTCTCTTGCTTAAATATCACAAATTTGTCTATTTATTTTTGTTATCATTCAACCGTTTGATCTGGTTGTTCTCCTATTATTTATCAAAAATTCAAAATGCTGTCTACTTATTTAATATTTGGTAATTCTTGCATCTTTTTACAAGAAGAATGCCATAACCTTGTAAGTGGTTAAAATATTAAATAAGTCACTTTGTTCAATCAATTATTTTATTGGAAATATTTTTGTTGATGTTGAGAATTGGTTGAAGTACATTAATAAGATAACCATACTGCTTTTGTTCCAATGTACATCTTAACCCTGAGACAATATTAGACAAACTGCGCATCAATCTAAGAAAATGTACACTAAGTGGACTTGTAATAGCATCTTAAATCAGGTAATATCGTTTTGGTGGTAGTCCTGTACAAAATGGACCAAGTCATGAAATTGCTGTTTTTAATTGGCTCCTGCATCCATAGTTCATCTTTCATGTAAATTTTTTGATTTTCATGCTGTATGATGGATTAACTCTGTTAAATGCTGCAAATGAACTAGATGTCCAGGTGCTTCAATGGTGTTCTGAATATGTGTGCATTACCTTATCTTCAACTTTTACTCTGAAAGCTTACAAAACTGTCAATATTTGAATCTTTGCATCTGCTTATATGCACAGAACAATTTGATGGTAGACTTTAGCCAATAGTTTGCTGCCTGTAGTGAATTATAAACGAAATTAAGATGAATGATCTGCATTGTTGAATTGTGGTTGTAATGACTGGCTACATGTCACATCTGGTTGCAGAGTTAACGCTATATCCATGACAGAGTGTGCAGTCACAGAGGTCAGAGAGTTGTTTGGGTAATATTATGGATATAGGTCCAATTGAAGTAAACTTTGGAACCTGAATTAAGTAGATATGTTCATAAATTCCAACTAGCATTTCTGTTTCTCTAGTTGCTATGCCTTTGACTTGCGAAGGGGCATAACTTGTATTAGCTCATAGAGCGTTGGAGGTACCATAACAACCTTGTGTCTTATTGCCTGTAGTGTTTGACTTTGGTATGGAAAATCCAAAGATTTGAGATGTACTATACATCATAACTCACTTGAAAGAGAGTAAAGAATGTGAAACTTGCTAGTGATTCCCATGTTGAGTTCATGCTGTAAAGTAGTGAAGGTATAGGAGTCCAGCAAGACTTGAATGATGGAGCTACCTGTTAAATATAAGAGGAAATATATTTGGAGTTGTAGAGCTGGATTTATGATAGCTTCGATTTTTTTAATGTTTAGAGCTAACTGTTGATGGTAGCATTGGGTGAGCTATCGGCGTTGCTAGTTGCTGATACCCGGAAACATCCTGTTTGCATTTTATTTGTTGTGAACTGAAATGTGAAATGGGTTAGTTGTTGGGGGTCATGAGACGTAGATGGTGGAAAATCTTTGGTTTGCTTACAAAGTATCTTTGAACAGTTCCCTTTTCTATATCATTTTTTGGTCTCTCTTGTGCTAATCGTTTAATGGAAAGAATTAGGAACCCCACCTCTTCTCTGGGTGGCAAGTCAATAATAAATCTCAATATCATCATTCACAAATTTAAATATCTGATTGGAGAATGGTTTAATAAACATATGTATTTACTTGGCTTCAATACTGATTGATGACTGGGCAGAACCTTTGTGTGACTATCTTCATATAACTTTCCTCACATTTAATTTGTTGATGTTCTATCTTGGTTATATAGTTTTTCAATATAACATTATTAGTGGAATCTGTTGTACAATCAACCCCCACCTCCCCACTCCAAAAGGCACACTATAAAAAAAAAGGCTGAAGGAGAAGAAGGAAACAAAAAAAATAAAAATAGAGACGCTGACATCTAATCTTATTTTCTGTGAAGGTTGTTGAGAGTGGTGGAAAGAACCTAGAAGTTGCTGTAATGACCAAAGATCATGGACTTCGCCAGCTTGAAGAAGCTGAAATTGATGCCATTGTTGCTGAAATTGAAGCGGAGAAAGCAGCTGCAGAGGCTGCCAAGAAGGCCCCTCCCAAGGAAACTTAGGACTGTGGCTTAGGATTTTGCTCACATCTCTCTCCTTTTGTGATTTTTAATTCAGACTGTAATCTGTTGCTTTTGAAAATTGATATGTATCTTTAGACAATTTACAGGATGCTTAATTTTCAGTTAATGGATTTCCTCCACATTCAAATGCCCTTGTTTTTGTTTCAATGCCTGCTAAAAAAAGTTGTTTGTCTGCATATCAAGTACAAGTAACATTAACCGGACTCGGGACATTAAAACATGTTTGAAAGTTGTTTATAAATTATTTAAATTATAAATAGAAAGGGAACAAAAAGTGATGGATAAGTGATAAATTCTTTAGGATTCCACGGAATGTATGGATACAAAATTATTTACTCAATTTTAAACAGATTATAAACCATATCCAAATAAGTGCTAACCCTTCTCCACCTTTATGTTTTCAAATTAAAATTGCCCTGCTTTGAGGGAATTTAGTTGAAATAGTAGTAAACAGCAAGCTTTTATATAAGTAATGTGTGACAATACGTTTTGATTAAGCATTACATGCATATGCGTACATGTATGAAAAATATGTGCAATTATGAGTTTTTCAATTTTTAATATTCTTTTAAATAGTATAAACTAATAAATAAAGTAAAATAATGCATTCTTTGACTTTATACCTATTCTTCGAACATTATTTTTATTTTTTATTTTTCAAAAAAAGAAAAAGAAAAAGACATTGCTCAAAATCATAAATATTTCTATTGCTTGAACTTTATGCATGTGTTTGTACAAAATCCACAAGTGCACATATCGTTGGCAAGTAATAAAATTGATGCGTTTAGTTATCGTTCCATGAGAAATAATAACTCACTATAGTTGACCGATTTCTTTCAAATTCGATGTTGGTAACACAAAAGAGATGTGACGTTTTTCATTATCCTAGATTAATCTATGAATAATGTAAAATATTGATTTTATCAAATAATGAGATAAATTTATTAGATTTCAGAATCCACCTATTGATTTCTATTTTTAATTTTCGACATAAGTTAGTGTTATTCAAATGTCATGACAATCGATAATTGATTAATATCTAATATTCTTTTTCAATATATATTAAATTTATCCTTAGCGCGATCCAACCCTATTCCTAGTTCGAATTTATATGCAAATAAAACTTCAATCACATGATTATCACCAGAGATCGCACACAACCTAAATATTAACCCTAATACCTAGTGCCCGCATGCCAAATATGCAGTGTTCTACATATTGTGAATCTTCCAACACTACAATAAGAAATAAGTTATCTAATTGGTAGCTAAGCAATCAAATGACACAATATTCATACATATTTAATCAGAAACAAAAAAAAAATATATGATAAGTCTTACATTATAAATATAACTCGGAAGGTTTCATCATTCGTCCAATACACAAGAAAATTAGCCTAGCATTATGATATTCAAATTATACAAGAAGATATAGAAAGATATAACCCCAAAGTAAAGAAATATATGAAGAACTCAAAAAACTTGATTTCTTGCATTTCAATCTTCAATATGAGCTTTGGAACTTCAAATCTTATTATAGAATTCTTCTTTGCTACTTGCTAGACTCTCTTCAATCATAAAATAATGGTTCCTAATATTATGGGCCTTGTTTAGGTTATACAAGATGCTAGATGCCATTTCATACATAGCCAAATCAAGATAAAGAAAACAAAAATCTTTCCTCGAAAATGAACAAAGCCCACACCTAGTTGTAAGTGAGGTTTACCCTTCTATTGGCTTCGATAGTGCTAGGAGGGGGTCAGGCACAGACCTAAAAATTTGTACTAGGTGTGCGCCTAGTTATGTCCCCAGCAGGTGTCAGTAGTTTTTTCATATTTCTCTCTCAATATCTGATTAAGGTAATTTAAAGTGCATTGAAAATTCAACTCAAAGGATTACAATTCTTCTAGAAATATTATTTTTTCAATTCGAATATTTACTATACCAAAAATGAGTCTCAATCTGAGGTTGAAAATTCGGAGCTTAACTTTTTCGATTGAAAATTAAAGGATGAACATACTATGACTATATTTCACCCGTTTAACTTATTTTCTTATCCAATTGACCCTTATCACTCTCTAATCTTTATCGTGAGGTCTGAACAACTTTTGAGTATTTTCACTTTAGTTATCGAACTTTGGATCTCTTACAATTGGGCAATTTTCACAGTTTTTTTCCAATTCCGCTATTTATGTCGATTTGTACCTAACAAACATAATACACATAGAATTAAGCCATAATTCATTAAAATAACCAATAAATACTCTAACTTAAAATGCCCAAATATGTGTACAAAATATACTTATCAAATACCCCAAAACTTGAATATTTTTTGGTCATCAAGCAAACTATAGCCTAACTCTAAACACAATTGGTTAGATAACATATCGTTGGTCTCATGATTGAAATTTCTATGTCAATAAAAAGAATAGTCTCAAAATCACTTAGAATGATCAATCTATACCTATTCAATGTAAAACTCGACATCTTTTTGAAGACTTATATAAAATATCACAAATTCATGATTGGTTCAATTTTCGACCCTCAGTGGTCAAATGTCTCTTTTCTGTACTCATGAGATACAAATCCTCAAATTTATTATTTTCAGTGTGATCCAAGGCTGGATTTTTAGATGATCCTAATCTTCACTCTCTCTAGCTTGGATAGATGTCACTAATGGCAGTTAAACACTTAAATAACTAATGGTTCTCCAAATTCTTGACTGCTTCAACCTCTAAGACCCAATTAGGCTAAATATCTATTATTAAAGTCCTAGTTCTTTCAAACAAATGTTCGAGACTTAATTAAAATATTTAGTGCTTCTTCTGTTTCATGCACTTGCTTTTCATCTGCACATATTCTGTTTCATGCATTTTCTTTTTTCCTTTTTAAGTTTTCTTTTTGGGATTTTTAGTAAGAATCCTCATCGGAATATTTTAGGGCATCTTTGCATCATTGTTTTTTTTCCTTATTTCATACTATGATTAGTGCTATGTTTCTTATTAAATACTTATTCTTGAAAATATATATCTAACTCAAGATTTTCACCTAATCTTCATCCTATTAGCTTTAGACATTCTACACAATTTTCACGCATGGAATCCCTAATCGTATTAATATTTTCCTACGCTAGTTCAACCATATCAAAACTATCCTAAAAGTGGTTTATGGATGTATGTAATAGTGGCTTTTCTTGGTTTTAGTAACTAAATTCCATTACTTTCAGCACATTCCAACATATGAACCAAAACACTCATTGACGATGCAAAACATAAAAGTTCGTGCACAAGGAAGATCAAGTTTTACCTAAATAAGCATTAATTAATCCTCATATATAATATTTCCACATAATTTCAATATATACATCATTGCGGCAAGGCCATCCATTTCATACAAGTACACAAAAGTGGTAAAATAAAAAAATAAAAAAAAATACATGACATACAACAAGCATGCAAAAATAATTAGAATACACAAAATCAACGAAATATCCCACCCCAAACTTAAAACGTGCATTGTCCTCAATGTACGAAAATATATTATTAAGTACACAAAAAGAAGGGGGAAAGGGGAAAACTAAGACTCTCCTAGTCTCGACGTGGTAGCTGAAATAGAATTAAAGTGTGAGAGATAGATGATCCACTTAATCGCATCATCCCCTTAGCTAGTATTGGTTTGAGTGTTTCTTAATGTCATGTTCCTATAAAATTCAAACATTAGTGACCAATTAACCTGGAACAAATAATATTAGGGTAAAACATCTCACAATTCAAGAAAAAATAGGGACAAAGGGGAAAGCGGAACAGGGGACTGCGGCATCGCAACTATTCACATTTTTTGTATGGATGATGACACTTGAATAAATATAAACTCCATATCCTATACCTAGAAAGTGTAGCAAATAAAATGGTAAAAGATTAGATTGCCTCTCAGTAAGTGCTTTATAATCATTAGCTTGACTTTATTGTTTTGGCTACTCATGGTAGTTTGGAAAGCTGATTTTTGACTTGCAATGAATGTACTTGCAGATATCTTCATACTCATCTTTGACTCTCCAGGGTTTGAAATTTTCGTACTGATCATTTATCGCTCCAACCAGTTTACCAACATCTTTCTTGTAGCAATGACTTGCATAGTCATCTCTTATTTCAGTTTTAGTCTTTTTGCACTCCTAGAGGGATGGTGGTTGTTTGAGTGGAATATTTACAGTAAAACTTTGTTGTCTGTCTTGCACCCTTAAGATCATCTCACATGTTTCAAAGTCGAACAAAACCCGATCGGTTGCTATAAATGGTCTTTATAAAATCACTGGCATATCTTGGTTCGCTCCATTGTCAATAACTATTAAATAAGCTAGAAAGATGAAATCTCTAGCTTTGATAAGCATGTCTTCAACTGCTTCCCAAGGGTGTTTTATTGACCTATTAGCCAATCATAGCATGACTCATCTCATTTGGTTTTCCCAAACCTAGTTTCCTTTAAATGTTCAAAGGCATCAAATTTATACTTGCTTCAGAGTCAATTAAAGTATTTATGTCATGTGAATCTCCTATAGAGCAACGTACAATGAAACTCTCTGGATCTTTAGTTTAGGTAGGAGCTTATGCTAGAGGATTGCACTGCACTCTTAAAATAATGTAACTACTTCATTTCGGGTAGCTTTCTCTTCTTAATCAACATTTCTTTCAAGAACTTGCATGCGTATTTCGGAATATTATTTCCAGCTTTCTAAGGGCATCCAAGAACTTTGCGAACTACCTCTCTAGCATTTCTATAACCTTTGAGGAAATGGGACTGGAGGTGTAAGTGTATTGATAAGAACGATTGCCTGAACCTGTGGATTGTCTGAATGCTCTTGCTAATTCATTTTGCTAATTCTTTAGATTGCCCGTTCTTTGTACGTGGTAGGTACTTTATTACTCTTAGTCACTTTCTTTCTTGTGTTGATCTCTAGTAGTTGAACTTCACTCCTTATCGTGA